ATTCTTCGATCGAATCGTAACCATGAAATTTGTGAGAGTGTGGGAGTTGTGGGGGGGGTCAGGGGTGGGCGCAGTGAATTTTCACATGCACAGTGAGAAGACGGGCATGCTAATTGAGACGCTGCAATTGAACCAAACTTCCCATAATCACAAACGTTCTATAAATAATCAATGAAGTAGCTGGCACTGGGGAGCAGCATTTGCGCTCGCGCAAGCCTGCATTGCTCCGCTGCCCATCAGTTTGGAAATGCAATCGACCAGGGTCTGCACGTGTCTGTGCGTGAGACTCATCTCACCTAGTAGGAGGAGGGGTGGGGGGGGAACGGAGCAGATGTGGCCCCCCAAGGAAGTTACGAGTGGCCCCAAGGGCAAGACGAAGTGGAGAGAGCTCTGTGCAGATGGGAGCTCTGGGACTCCCGGAGGCGTAAACACAGAGGGAGGAAACACATGTAGAGACAAGACAGTGAGAGGAAGACGCAACGAGAAGGACTTGGAGCGAGAGCCGGAGGCATAGAGAGAGAGAGACTCGCGCAGCCGCAGAGACGGACAGATGCAGACACAGAGGGAAACATGAATACATAAAGACAGACATCGACCTAAAGATAGGTAGACAAAGATCCACTGTATAACTTTTCTATACTGTTGGGGCAAGTGTTGTTAGCGAGCGCACACAAAGACAGGCACGGTCGGAGAGAGGGGAACAGATGTATAGAGGCAGACAGACGCACATGGAAGAGCCACAGAGGCAGACAAATACACAGATACAGACACAGGCGTAGTGGCAGACATAAACACAAATATAGACAGTGTGACACATGGCCCTCAAATACAGCACCAGCCCTTCTCCCTCACCCTTCCTTTGGCTCCCCAGTACTTACGGTGCCCGAATTCATACTGCGCGACCACCCTCGCTTAATTCGGTACTTATCTTTTATTCAACTTTATTTAGGAGTGCAGCAATGAACAACGGCTCGTTGTCAGCTGGGCTACATTCTGCACGCTTCAACTATTCTGCCGGTGGAATAGAGAGAGAGAGAGAGCCCTGTGTGTGTGTGTGTACGGCCTTGCTTGAATGCTCCGAGGAAAGTTATTGTGTCTTCAAACAAAATGGTCGTAAAGAATGTGAGTGCGCCTGCAGGACTGTACGTAACAAGCAATGCCTTACACAGCAGCAGCAGCAGCCCGTGGGCCCCCTCCCTGTGTGCCCATGCTGTGTCTGTCTCCTTAGCCGCTAGTGTGTCAAGAGCCCTCCGCTATTAATTGTAGATTCCAAAACTGGAAATTTCTTGAGATGGGTGTTTTCGGGGTGCCATTTCCTAATCGAACTGTGTCGGGCAGTCTCCTTCATCTTCTCTTATGGGTGTCACCCGAATGCAAACAAATCTAGTGCAATTGTGTTACGCGGATTAAAGCTGGTGGAAGACGAATCAAACCGTTAGGCGAAGTCAACTTTATGAGACCTCCTTTGCCAGTAGCAAGATATAGTTATAGGTTTTTACCCTTTTATCTGGCACCAAAACTGACACCTTTATACAAGGGGTCATGTTTGCAATAACCGCAACACAAGCAGTCAAAATGCAAACAAAAAGAGACGACTGATAATGATATGAACTGTCCTTGAAATTGATTGGTCCACACCGGAGATGGCTTTTCTTAGAGCCTAGTCTCCACTGGTGTTGGACCAGATGACGGACATGTCACACTTGCGAATATGCATGCCAAGGAGAAATGGGCTCGTTTGCCGGTGTTTGGTGAATTGGTGATACCGCGGGGAGACCTTAATCCAGCAGTGAATCAACCATGGCTAGCTGCTTCTACTGATGATGATGGTGGCGATGATAATGATGAACTATCCCATGGTACCAAGGGCTTCATGTTGTGGTTAATTGCGGGTAAACACATGGCAAAAGAATGTGCAGTGGGAGTGTTTTTTTTTAACAACACATTAATGCTAAGTTTAAACCGAGTCGTGATCTCTAACCGGGGGATGCCTTTACAAGTGCTGCGTTGTTGCGTGCCACGACAGGTTTTGCAAGCCCAGCCACACAGGGCTTCCTATATATGGTCTGGCTGTCTTGCCGGACACAGTAAATATGTGTGCGTATGTCACATCCGTCACGAAAACTTTACCCCGCTCGTGTTTTCCCCGGCTCTGCATAATAAATACACAGACAAAGCAAAAATAACGTTTCCGTTTCTCACCCGCTATGGGCTGCGTAGAACCAATGATTTGCAGTAGGTTCAGTAGGTCCGTGGACCAAATTGTTCAGAATCGGGGAGTTGAAAAGGGTTTATTCTCTTGCAACGCTGTTTAAATATTTATTATCTGGCTTGCCTCGCATGCAAGTGGGTCAGCTTGCTAGCCGGTGTCCAGTTCCATGCGAGGGTGTCTCGTTGCATTCTGTGATTTCGTTTTAACGGGCTGGTGCCTGGATGTGAAATGCATCTGTTTAACCTACCAGGTTTTGTCATTAATAATTTCACCCCGGCAAAGTGCTGGTTATTCAAATTAAAGATACATGAGAGAATTGATAATAGGATGCATGGCTATGTTATGCATCCTTCCAAAAATACTTGTATTGTTAGACTGCAATGGCAGGATTACACAAGCACAAATAACAAAAACGTAATGCGTGCATCAATAACACTGCCTTTATATATATAAAAAGTATATACGGCAATATTCCGATTTACGTCGGGGATGCGTTCCTGAAAGGTGCAACGTCGAATATCGAAATGACGTCAATCAAAGCGATTTACAGGGGCAGTAGTAGGTGGAGGCGACGGACGATTTTGCTGTCAGCGACGCAAGTGTGGGGCGTTGAGGCGACGCAAATCGGAGTAGCGGTGCTAATAAAGCGACGACCTATTTGCGAAACGACGTTAAAGGTGGAGACATGAATCGGCATATTACTGTAATCGGTTGTTTTAGGCAACGGCCCTTATCTGCTTTAAAGGTCACCATTTGACCTGGCCCACTGATCATACGCCTGAACTATTGTCTGAAACGTCGCCAATTATATGTATATTTGTTTTCGCTTAAAGCAGTGTTATTGATGAATGTGAGTTCTAGCTGTGAACAGAGTACACGTGTGTTCATTCTATTTTCTTTCGTATAAACGAATTTAGGACGCGGTCATTATGGTTAAGTTGAGATGAGCTACTCAGTTATTTGGCAACTGGTTGACAAAGAACTGAAAAATATATATTCCATTATACTTTATAATTGTAAGCCTGTAAAAAAATATACGTATTCACCTTAGCACTGACGCCAGTATTGGCCACTTAGTTACTTGGCTTATTTGACTAGAACCAGGGCATTTTGTTCAAAGAAAATCCGAATGATTTCTCCTACTTTCTTAACGGAATCCCAGTGATCTTTACGGTTTCTTCTCACTGCTCGTTTTGTAAAGAAAGAACGCCCGTTATGGTCTCGCGTTAACGGCTCTCGCGAGCGCCCTCATTTCCTTAGAAATCGTTGGTGAGTGATCCACGTTGTGAAATCTGGTGACGGCACGCTCTAGGAATGTCGGTCAGAGCTACAGTTTACCTCTGACATGGTTAGAATACAGCCGCTCGGCATTGTTGGACCCATTGTGACTGCACTGCGAGTATTTCCTGCAGAGGGCGGTGGGGGGGGGGGGTCATATGAAAACCACACTGTCGTCAAGTATGGCAGCAGTGTGCCTGTCGTTAGTCAACTTATGATCCCACTTGCTTGGGTTTGATTCCTGGCCAGCTACATTCTGCAATTAGTATCCGAATTTTTGTCCACGAGAAGTTTTGCAGACACTTGAGATGCATTTTCTTCTTCACAACGCACGATGGTTTTTAACTGTCCATTACACAGCTTTTCAGATTGGTGAATGCAAAAAAGTTATTTGCTTTTATGGATGTTTTGTAAATCAAATATCACAAGCACTTTTAGAGAAGTTTTTATTGAGATGAAAAAAATCTTGATGCATAATGTCCCGGCATAACATTAAGGGTTGACGGTGGTCTGCAGGTCAAAGGTTGGGGGGCTGCTTTTGTAGAAGACCTGACCCATGGACTTAAATTATATATATATTTTTATATATAAATTGCCTCCATTGTGCTGTCAGGATAATGTCAAAAGATAAATCATCCATTTAGATCACATTTCAGAGCAGTGCATCCCTTAGTGTTAAAGAAGTGCATATCACAGAGCTACATACGAAGTAGTTTCAAGTCACCAGCAGCACTTTCCCACCCACTATACAAATGAAATTGTTCATCGCATGACCGTCAAATTCGATAAGTTTAATGTAATGCTTTTTTACGTAGGCATTGGTGACCATCTTTACTTAGACCATCAACTCGCTACACTTGAGAACCCGATGTAATCACAGGTGGCTGCCTGGATTCAAACCCAGAATCTGAGCGATTTGCCGCTCTACATTATGACCTCATTCCATTTCTTGTTATTTAAATTTTAGCGATGAAATGCATATATTATGGCCCATAATATGACAAGACAGCACACAACTAAAAGCTGCCAATTGTGTCGTGACTGGGAATGTCACCGTGTGGTGCCGGGCCTGCGAGGCCACGGCGGGATGTATACTGTTGTGTGTACACCCCGGATATGGGGTTGTAGTACCAGCCCTAGTGGGGGCTTGGGTGAACGCTAGTTAAGCGCGGTGGCACCACGCACAGCGTGCAGTGCGGGCTCCTGTTGAGAGAGCGAGAGATTGTCAGCCAGCTCTGGTTACGTTGGGGGCATGATATTCTGGCTGACTAGGGGACATGTGACCGGATGATACTGGAGGGGGCCAATGGGTGGTCACATGGTCCAGGGGGAACTGTCGAGAACCTTCGGGCAAGGGCGAGAGAGATCGAGAAGCCAGCCCCAGCCCGGCCCGATATAAGGGGGGCCCTTTGAGGGGCTCGGGGTTCTTACTGTTGGAGAGGCAGGAGATCCACGTCAAGCTTGAAGAAGCCTCTAGCCACGCGGTCCGGGACCCAGCTTGTGGTCCGGACCGGGATAGTGGAACCGTGTCTCGTTCTGCCGTAGCGTGGTTAGTTGGGTGGTCACCACCCGAGAGTGTGTTGTGCTAATAGTTTAATACAACGTGTTGCTCCCTAAGACAACGTCTGCGACTCAGTTGGACTCACTACAATTGTACTGGTTTGGCTGGGATAGTCCCGGTGGTTTCGGAAGCATTTATGTAAATAAATAAAAATCTGACTTTTGCTCATGGGTGCAAAGGGCAAGGCTACCTTCGAACTGGGTGGAGCTGGCAGTGGAGTAGGTGGGGCCTATGAGCAGTGGGCAGGGCCAACAATTATAAGGACAGAAGACACTCGGTGTGGGTGGAGGTAGCGATTGAGTGGACGTGGTTATTGAAAAAGTGGGCGGCGCTGCTCGAGGGAGGGGCTACCAACTCCCCATGTGTCCTGGTTGAGCTTCCCGTAAAATTTATAGCTTTACGTATGACAGGTTTGTACTAAGTGATTCCTGTATTTGTAGCCGCTTTCTGAGGCTTTGCAGGCAGTGAGAGAAATGGGAATAACCTGATCGGGTATGGAATTCCCTGCGTGTGCATTGTTTGAAAGCTCTCTTTCTCTTCCACCGTCAACCCTATTTTACCGCGCCATGGTTAACTGGCAGCCTGCCCCATTGTTGCAAAAGTGAGCCAGCCATGCACGTATTTATTTTATCTGCAGATAGATGTCCTGGTTTAGCTGCCCGCACCTCCGATCAGCTTGGTTGGCAATGTACGATGCGAAAGAAGTTCAACAAACATGTACATACATTTCAAACGGATGACTTATTTTCCTTGGCTCGCAAAGTGGGGCACGCACTCGGACGGTCGCGCGAGTGCGCGTCGTCGGCCTTCTTCACACGTCTTGTGTTTCTTCTCCCCGTCGCCCGGTTTATTTCCGTCGAGGCCGGCATGTGTGTGCACCCGTGCGTGTGCGCTCGTGTTGTTGATGTGCCACGCCATCGCATCCACAGCCCTTAAAGAGCCACCGTCAACGCGTTCTATATTTAATAGGGCATCGTTCTGTCGGAGTCGCGCGCGCACACACACACACACACGTGTGAGGAGGTTGTGTTTAACGCTGGGTCGAATCGGCCGGTACTTGGTGCCTCGCCTGGCACCCAGGGCAACACAGGTTTGTGTTGGATACCGATCAGGACTTTGTACGGCCCTGAGCTCTATAGAACAACGCTGCTAAAGGACGTTTTAAACGAAAAATGTCAAACTTTGAAGCAAGCGATGCCGTGACTGTGGCTACTTTTTATAGGAGGCGTCGTGCGGTTAATAACGACTGAAAATAATTGTCGGCAAGAAGATGAACAAGGAAGCTTGCGCGTTTGGCAGCGGTGCCATCAAAGCAAGAGGAACTCAGAAAATCAAAGCAGGGACAATGGATTGTTTACAATCTCTTGAAATGTACGTTTCTTCTTAAGCATCAACCGATTACAGGAACTGTCGCAGGCGTGGGTTTTTTTTTCCGCCTGCCAACAGGTTTCCTAAAGAATCTTCATTTTCTTGATCTCCCTTCTCGATTTCACCGAAGAGAATTTTTGTCAGGAAGCGCCAGGCACGCATCGCTTCCCCCCTTGTCTGCTTTCTGAGTTTACTTGAACCGCCTTTGGAGATACTTTCCTGAGTTACGAGAAACTTAAATATTGAAAAAAAACTGGGGCCAGGAAACATATTGGCCCCAACGGCAACAGTGAAGGGGCGGCCAATGAGAATGCAAGGCAGCAGGAAGTACGAGAGACTGTACCATTATTATACAGGTATGTGATTTCTATCGCAGACAAAACCATTTATGAGGGCAGTGGGGGGTGGGATTTTTTTTTTGGCACCCATGGCGAATGATTGCTTACAATTCGTTAACGTGGAGGAGAATGGTTGGCGGATAGTGCAGAGAGTTTTTTGCCGAGTGTAGTGATACGTGCACATAATAAATTCACCTTTTAAAATGAAGGTTATACAACTTGCATGAACAACGGCGCGATATAAGACTAATCGTTATAATTAATATCCATTTGTATGTGTGTATATTCTGCGAGTATTCTGGTTTCCTTCCACATAGAGGCTGTGATGAAGGTACTGTGCATAATATAGTTGCCCACAGGGCCATGTAACATGTGGAAGGCAGTGGAACGAGTAGGTTGCTTTACCTATCAATTTGAGGTTGAGCAGTGTTGTGTTTTGAATGCGTTTTCTCCAGGTACTCCCACACACGAAAAACACTCATTAGCCATACAATCCAAGAGAGGTCCTTAACCGAACATTCGCTTTTACTGGCAATGACATGCCATGTTTTCTATTGCGAATCATGTAAAAGGTCACTTATGTTCTGGAACTCGTACATGAGCCAGAGCGTCATGTCCATGAACGGCACCGGAGCGTAATACCACAGATTTTCTACTGAAGGCACTTTCATTTCTCTCTCTCTCTCGTGCAGTGATAGGCACCCTGCTGTATTGCACATGGCTGCCAGCATTCGAACCCAGGATCCCTGTGGTGCCGACTCGTTGCTCTAACGTGGGCATGGTTGAAGCTACCCAAGCCACACACAAAACTTTTGATATTTAACCATCAGTAAGTTTTTAATATGGCGATGTTGCCGTTGTGCAATGGTTTAGCGCACTCACACTGGATTTGCAATTGAGGGTTTGAAACTGGTTGTGCCCATTTACACTGCTGGGTGGACACACGCAGGAGGAATTTGAGAGATGTGCCCGTTGTTTCAAACTGCCACGCGTGGTGGAGTTACGTGCTTTTATGTCTCACCTCTTGCAAGACGTCTAGCCAGTGTGGAAGAGTAGGCCTAATTCTCTCTATAGAGGTCCTCTAGAGCTTCCACGATTGGAAGGCCCTTCTACCAGCACTGGCAATGAGCAAGGCATTTCTGGACTGCATCTTTTTGACTTTTCACACATACGTTATTGTTCTTTCCCTTGCAGGTGATTGTCTGCCACCTCCCCCACCTCCTCCTCCGGAGGAACAGAGCTACCGGTCGGAAGCGCTAGCTCGGGACTACCCTCCGCCGCCACCTCCACCACTCCCCGGTGCCTCCGCCACCCTCCCCGGGAGGGCCAACCCGTGGACTGACAGCATGCAGGTCGGTGCCACCCACCACCCGTTGCGGCAAAGGCCCCATCCGCAAAGTGGTGCCAACTTGTTTTACTCGTTAGGGGGAGCTGTCTGCCTCTGTAGGGGAGAAGACAGGGGAATGAAGGGGTGTGGAGGTTAATGGGTGATGCATTGTGTTTTGCGGTGATGTTAAAGTCGTAATAAACGGCATCTCACATTTGTAGAGCAGTTTTGTTGGCATGGCCCCACTGGTGTAAGAAATGAGAAGGGGGGGGGGGGGGAGGAGCCCCCTGTAAAGCGCCAGCATGTTGGGGCTCCTCTGCCTGGCCTGTGGTCTCCGGTGCAGTTACTCTGCCTGCACTGCACACTCACTAATGATAGCCTCTCTACTTCCTCCCACTGTGTTGCTACCTATGGCCAAATCTCAAACATCTGATGAGCAGTAATCTGCAAGACCCATTATAAAAATGATAAATGTAATTTTCTTACCAGCGAAATCTCCACCAAGTCTCAAGAGGGTTCTGAATTGGGATATTTGACCACTTCCTTTTAAAGGAAAAATGCTCCACTTGAAAGGAAGCTGGAGAACCCAGGGGATAGCACTCCCAAGGTCTGCATCAACGGGTTTTATGAACTCGCTTGCCGTGGCACTGATATATTTTGGCCACCTCTCAGCCGCGCGGGATTGGGAGTCTCGCGTGTAAACATAACCCAGCCACCCTTGCCTCCGGAGTGCTGTGTTACAGGCATGTGTCACCTTGCCCGACTAATTTATTTATAGATTAGCAGATTAAATGGTATGGCCTTTGGCCATTTAGCAAACCTAGTTGGCTATTTATTTATTGCACGCTGTAGTGGTCAGTTTTTTTCAGTTTAAATTCTTTATTTATTTTGCCTGGTGAATGCCCCACTGAGGGGGGAGGTATTTTTCACAATGGAACGCAAGCCGAATGTGAGGGTAAACGCAGCAATTGAGTACATTATCAGCCATAATCGATCTACTGCTGGTTGAAGACTCACTGCGAACCTTGTCACGCCATCTCCCATCGTTCTACGACGCAGCAATCAGTTTGGCACCTGCAAACGAGCAGACCTCATCGTAGCGGGATTGTCCCCTCGGACATATTCCTTTCGGTTTTCCGCTCCGTCCGTGATTTTATTTTATCCACCTTCCTCACGGTTGTTCAGGGCACCGCCAAGAAATCCGGCTATCGGCCGACCAGCATCGACATGGAGATCGACTCACTCACCAACATGCTGGCAGACATGGAGAGCAACTCTCCCTTCCCATCGCGCTCGCGACCGGTACGAACTTTTATTCACTCGGTTGAATTTTGGCGTGGGTAAAACCCCCCGCATTAGGCAGTAAATGCTAATTTTCGATGGAAGACCTGGTTACACCTCGCAGTAGTAATAACCTGCTTACAGCAACAACAACAACAGGAACAAAACAATCCAAAAACAACTGTACACGGTCAAGTTCACAATGGCAAGGTCGTGCAGCAACATGGTACAACTAGCACGAAAAATACGAGGCTACTGGAACGCATCGCATATTCCAAAATATATATAACAACTTAGTCTGCAAAGCAAGAGCGTACAATTGCACGTGCACTTGCAAGGGAGTTTCGCAACATTTGTGCAATCCACCAACCCTTGTCGAATTACAGGCGTGCGTAGCCACCACTGCCAGCTACAAACCACACTGGATGCAATGAGGCATTGTCGGGTCCCTATGGTTCCGTAACTTTTTTAAGTATGTTAAAGCCCCAGTGGTTATGCGTAGGCAAAATCTTCCAGAAAAAAACTGCGCTCAGCTGTGAGCTCCGTTTCAAAATAGAACGTGGGCATGTTCATTGTGAAACTTCGATTTGCTCCGAGCTATTTTATTTATAACGAGAGAGCCATGCAGGCGAAGTGGATGACACAAATGTGTAATTGTGGTTAAAAAAAAAAATTGCTCGGAATAGATATCAATTACAAATTGGCCATACCTCTTCGGTGAGACCTTTCTGAAAATGTAACTACGCATCTTGTTGAGGTCTTATAGTATGCAAAATGTTAATAATATAATTAGACGTGGAACAATTTGCCCTCCCCCATGTGAGTTCACCAACGTGGTGAAGTGTACGGTCGACCAACCCACATGAACGACAAGATGTGGAGAGGCGAAACACAACGATGAAAACGATTGTTATAAATAAACATACAAAACGCATACATTTGCACTGGCCGGGAGGTTACAATAGTTCTACTGTTACCAACAACTCTGACTGCGGCAGGTTTCGGGTTAAAAGTTCGCCTTCTCAGCGCTGTACATGAAAGGGAGCCAATCCAGCTCTCAGTGGCGTTCCCAAAATCGGTTAAACATTTTCAAGCCGCCGTTTATTTCAAATGTTTGCTAATAACTTCCCCGAGTTCATCGTTTTAACGTGAATTACTCTTATGTCCTCGCGTAGAAAATCAGGCTCTCGTTGGAATAAATTGGTCTCTTTTATTGTTGGTATTGTAATTTATCCAGGTAACGCATACCTGGGCCGCATGTGTAACTCCAACGCGTTACACCGACGCAAATGGGTCACACTTGACAAGGAGGTTTTCTGTGTCTGTGGTGGTGTTATTGTTTTACCTTTTAGACGTATTCGAGCACTCTACCATCCCCACCTCCGGCCGCCGACTCCACTGCCAACACTTTACCGTCGTCCCGGCCCACCGTGGCTGCCTCCTACACCCAGGCTTCTCCATCCGTGGCTGCCTCCAAGTCAACCTCGGGGCCGCCCCCCGCGTACTCGAACGGCCGCTCTGCCAGGCCCCAGCCACAGCCGCAGCCGCAGCCTGTGGCCGCGTCGTACGCCACGGCTCCGGCGCGTCCGCCCACCAACGTGCAGGTGGGGAGAGGCACGACGTGGTGCAAGGTTAGGCAGAGCGGGGGGGGGAAGAGTTCGGGACGACTTATGACATCGCCATCGCAACATTGTCGTGCCATGTTCGGTTTAAGATAATATTTCTCGTAAATTTCAGTAAATAAGAGTTACTATGTTGGCCGTTCAGAAATCTTACGCTTGGTCGGTAAGTTGATTGGAAACTGATAATAATTACTATTATAATATATAATGAAATTAATACTCATAATTAGCATAATTTACATTTAAGAACATTATCTCATACTTGCCTCCGCCAAAAGCCGGCGGAAATGCATGGAGTGATGATGTCATGCCGGCCTTGTTGGATGGCTGCTTTTTTATTTTCAATTCCGTGAATGATTAGCGCAAACATTGAGAATGGATTAATGACATGGGTTTGTGATTTAAAGAATGTGGTTTGTTAAACCAGCCAGCAGTTTTATTTATGCAGCACTGTTTACGCATCCTTGACAAAGCACACACTATGAAAACATAAGTAGTATAAAATACCAGAACAGTGCAAAACGAATTGGGCATAGACATGGCGATACCGCTGGCGATACAGGCGTAGCACTCAATTCGTTGTTTGTTTCATGCCGTGCGTTTAAACACAATTGTACTTTATGGGATTTCGCAGTGGTGCAGTGGTTTGTACTGGAAGTACCGCAAAGCACGAATGAAATTCATTTGCTCACTTCTGGGAAACTGATCTTGCAAAAATTGTCATATCTTATCGTGAAAAAAATTCAATCATGACAACCTCATGAGTGAGCTGCTCAGTTGCCAACGACGTGCGTTACTGGTGATGCGAACAGGTGCGCGTCGCCCAGCCCAGCCACAGCTACGTGGGCCCGGCCGCTTCCGTGTACGCGCCCTCGCCCGCCCGCCAGCCCGAGCCCGCTTACTCTGCTCAGCAGCAGAGGCCAGGAGAGCCGCAGGCAACGTACGGGCCCGGCCGGCCCGTAGAAGCACCCTACACTTACCGCCTGCCTCCCAGCCGGCAGGCTGAGGTTCAGCATCAGCCTCTGCAGCATCAGACGCAACAGCATCATCCGCCGCCGCAACAACAACAGCAGCAGCAAAGGCCAGGAGAAGTGCAGTCTGCCTATGGGACGGCGAGGCCAGTGGATCCTGGCTATGGATCGCGGTACGGAGACCAGGGCCAAGGGCACACGGCCAACCGACAGCAAGCGGAGCCGGCGTATGGCACAGCGTACAACGCAGGTGACGCGCCACCTCGCCACACAGCCTCCGGGTTCACTTTGTAAACAACCTCATCTCGCCTAAATTTAGTTTTAAATTTTCTTGCTGTGGTTTTCACACCTGATGATGATTGCTTGTGTTGCAATCGAAACGTCGTGAGAATTTATTGTTTTATTTGTATTTTATTATGTCCCTTCTACGTGACTTTACCGAAAGAACCAAGAATATAATACTCATCTGACCTCTCGTGGAATGGCCACATAAATAATCTGGATAAATGGCTGGGCTTTCTTTTCCACGCACAAGTCACCTCTAACTATTAACAATTAACTACTTTACAAAGGAAACATTTGGAATACTCTTGGAATACTGTTGTCATTAGGTGAAGCACCATATTCCTACCTCGTCTCACTTTATAGAATTAACGTAAATTAGCCAGGGCGATTGATGATCCAGCACTCGCTGTTTCACTCCAATCACCTTCCACACACCGGTGGTCACTCGCATCCTTATCACGCTTCTATTGCTACTACTATGTTTACTTGACCCGTTTACACTTCCCATTGATTCCTCCACCCATGTTGAGGACTGACTTTACTCAATTAAAACTAAATATTAACTGTTATATTTTACACCTTCTATCGTGCTGTTCATTACTGGCCATTTGCGTCGTAATACGAAGTGGCGACATTTCCAGCGTCGTTGCGCTGCTAACGCGTGCTGGGCCCCGTTGTGTGTCCGCGCGCTGCGCCTCCCTAGGTACGGCTCGATACCCGGAGCCGGGATACACGAGCAACGCAATGCCGCGCCCACCAGCAGCACAGAACTACGCACCAAAGCAAGAGCAGGCATTTCCTTCGGCCCAGCACCAGCAGCAGCAGCAGCGTCCACCCCAGCGTCTCGACTACCAGCAGCAGCTGCCCTCCCACGGGCAGGCGCCGGTGGTGGGATACCCGCCGGGTCAGCACCAGGCTTCGGCCTACTCACAGGCTCAGGCGCCTGCCTACCACCAGCCCCCGCAGGGGCAGCTCGCCATGTCGGGGTACACGCCGGGGCAGCACCAGGCATCGGCGTACGCGCCGGCGCAGCTCAAGAAAGCTTACCACTCGGACGACCTGCCCCCGTCAGTGCCAGGATCTGCTCAGCAAACCAGGGTGAGCGGGGTGGTTCTGTTGTGCATAATTGCCAACCTTTGCTGGGCTAAGCGGCAGGCAGCTGATTTGGAAAACCTCTGTTACCAGTACAAGTTATCGATTTAAAACTTGTGTGTATTTACTTGTATTGCGTTTTTGCTATGTACATTTGCCAATTTTACACCCTGTGGGACACCCATTGCAAAAAAATGTCCCATCTCAAAATATTAACCGGATGAAATATCCGAATGAATGAGATAGAGTTAAAATCTATTTAGAGGTTTATGTGTGTGGTCATTGGGATCATAAACCCGTTGCACTTGGAAAACCCAGTTTGGCTTAAATTCATGCTTCAAACCCAGGATCTCGGCGGCGATGGCATTGGTGTCCTAACATGGCATGAGTGACGCGAACCACCCAGCCACCTCGGCATTGTAATAATTGAGTGCGATTGTAAACGAGCAACATATTCTCTCAAAGCACACGGTTGCCTCTGGGATTGTTTTTAACGTTGGTTTCTGCTGCTTGGTCTGGCCACGGGCCCACCAAAGATCTTGCCAGCGATCATCATGCCGTGCCTCAGTGTTTGGCGTTGCTATGAGATTGTATTTAACAAAAAAAATTTTTTTAACAAAAACTTGTTTTTTTTAAACGCTGCAAAGGATATCCTTTAGACAGCATGTCCAGCCAAGTTTAAAAAGCATTTAAGTTGCATTTCCACGTTGTAAACAGTTGTCAAGAGTCCTCGCTGGACTTTGCAGCGTTGTGGTGGAAATTGCAGCTTTGCCAGGAGTATTTATAATTTGTGAAAATGTGTGGTGTTCGTTGAACACCGAATTTAATTGGTAGCACCGCATCAAGTTCTGCTCCATTGTAGCCGCCCAGTGACCACCTGTTTTGTTTTAAGTAGCTCCAAAGTGAAAGGAGTTTTATTTTTTAACCCCTCTGCCCTCTTCAGTACCACGAAACTCATAGGAACTGGTTGTGGGGGGGGGCGTGTGTTAAAACGCACTTTAGCAGGAAATCTAAAAAACACTTTGTCTGCATTTCCCGAAAAAATCCATGGGCTCTGCGTTGCTCATGTACGCGTGCGACCTTCAGCTTACCGGCGCTCACAATTATAAAGCGCTGGCGGCTTTAATTAACCCCAGGTTAATCTACCTGATGCTACCCCCCCCACGGGTTGGAAAAAAAACAGGGCGAAAGCCAGGGCTGTGTAACCTCGTTGGCAAGTTGAATATTTAACCCCATAATTGCGGTGCATATTTGCTGTCCTCGTTGTTCTCATCATCAAGGTGGCATTTGTCAAACTGTTTGGTAGTTGTGTCAGTGGTTTTTAACCTGGGGGCCACAATCGTAACAAGTAGGCAACAATGTATTGATCTTCTTGGTTCTTTCGGTAAAGTCACGTAGAAGGGAAATATTGATTATTATTTTATTATTTCCCTTCTACATGACTTTACCGAAAGAACCAAGAAGATGATCCCTGCAGTCACGAAAGCATGAAATCGAAACAATGTATTGTTTAACATGCATTGCAAGCGAATTGTATGCTTAGAGGACATGCATAGAATAATTCGTGTAAGAATGAATTGTTGACATTTAATTCAAGTTCAGTGCAAATGATATGCGTATGTTACATATGGGCGATTGCATTGAATTGAACAAGACGGTGGGAATAACTTTTTTTTATTTACACATGGCCGTGAATCAAGTGACCACTTATTGAATCACTAGAGCAGGGTTGGATGCAACCTTTTTCTCGCCGAGCAGTGAGCAGGACGTACTTGCGGACGCATTCGCTTTATCTGGAAATTTAGCAAAATATAATTTAGGGCTTCCCTTTTACCGGCCTAATGCTGTTCCTGTGCGTATTTCCCTCTCACGAATGCATCGGGTCGCAGTTCCCAAGTTGTATGCCCTACTTGGACGCTTGCAGTGAAGGTGAACATCGTTTGCCATCCACTTCCAAGTGGCTGCCCTCGTGGCTGCACAAAATCAAATGCACCGTAGGCTTCCTCACCCATTGATCACAGTCACCCTGAGGACAAGATTTCGCTCACAGCTCCCAACGTTTGTTGTGCAGACTCTACTGGTGCAAGGTGGCGGCGGAGGGGGGCCGCCGACGATGGGGGTGTCCGGCCTAGAGGACGAGGTGGACCGGCTCACCAAGAAGATGCTGCACGACATGAACAACCCGCCGTCCGAGGAGTACTTTGGTGAGTGTCCTCGCTGCCAGTGATCCCGACGCGTGCTGTCGCTTTGTGCCGCCACGCTGCGCCAGCCGTCGTTTCACAGCCACGACATTCATATGGAAGGCTCCCAGATTGGTCCGCGTTCACGTCTAACTGCACGTGTGGTGGCCAGTGGCCGGTGTCCTGGTGAATTTCTTTCCGTCCGGCCCCATTTACAACAAGAGGCACCAGTTTTTGTCCGAAATAATAAAATGGTGAAACTGTGAAGCTTTTGTGACCTTTTGAAATGCTGTTTTAGAGCTTTCACATTGATTATTTCCACGTGAATGTAACAATCATGTACTTAGGCCACCAACCACAAGCTTTTGGCATTTAGCCCACATCCACATTGTGAATTGCCTTTTACTTAAGCACACACTTAAAGCAGAATTTGTGTGATTCACTTTCCAAATACCGTTTTTCTTAGGCAAAAAAGTAGATTTGTTATTTTTGTACGAAATTTAATGCACATCTGTTAATAGGCAAACGCAATGTTTGACAGCCAAATGCTGATTCTATCTTTCGTATTTGGGATTGGCAGGAAACAATGATGCTAATGATAATTTGTAGAATTAGTTGCGCAAAAGTTTCTCGCTTTTGCCAGAATTTATGTTGAAGGTTCTGGCATGGGACCAGTACGCGTCTGTACTCTTCCTCTGTCGGAGAAAGAAAACAAAAACGTACTTCCCGGAATTATTTATCTTCGAGTGGGCGAGCGGCGTTGTGTGGGGGGGAGGAACGTATAAACCACATTACTCTTTACACGTACGTGCGTGCAACTAGCGTTCAAAACGGTAATTTAAGTAAACAAACGTTTTTTATCTTTTGGATGTGTATCTAGGCTGTCTCCCCCTCCTCGTGCTCTCTGGCATGAGTGTAAGCCTTCATTAAATCGTAAAATAAAAAAAAGTACTGGGGAATTATTTTGTGTCGGGATTGCCAGAATCACACTCTTGTCAATCGCTTCAATTAGTCGAATTGATGCGATGTTGTGAATCGTCACACCGCTACTTTTTTAACAGAGCAACCCCGGTCACATTAGTGCCATGCACGATTATGAGCATTACACTGAGCTTCCATTGGCGTGGTGCTTTTTTGGTGAATCATAATTTTGCTTTTGTGTTTGACGCTTGAGTGTTCTGTCCGGAGTTTCCTTGCATTGCATAGCCCGTTGGATTTCCGTTGGTGCAGTTGCGCCACCTGCTGTTGCTTCTTCAGTCTGAGGTGCTTTTTTTTTAATCGGTAGAAAACTGGTCTTAATCGTTCCAGTCGTCATCCTTGTTACATTCACAGTTTTTATCATCATTGGGTTTATTTTTTGTAATAATATTTTCATGACTTTTTTTTCCTGCTTTTGGTCACGACACCAATGTTTTTTGGTGAGTGTCTGTCATTACTGGTCAGTGAAAAGGCCTAAGTTGAAGAACAGGAAATGTTCTTGTCCCGTACACATACTGAACTTCAGCACTAGAGGTTCTGCACTTTGAAAATGTATGGGGGGGGGGACGAGGGGGAAGGGTAAGTGGGGGTGAGTGACGGGGGGGTTAGAAGAGAGGTTAACGTGCTGCGCTGTAATAACAACGGCGACCAAAATTTGATTCCTGCCCACGGCTATCATCGGCAACAAGTGGTCTCAGAAACAATTCCTGGTACCCCCTCCTTCGCCAAACCGGTACCGAACATTGTGGTGAAGTATGGCTAAACACCTCCCATGACTGATTTGGAGAAGTCTTCAACCAGCAGTCAATTGACAATTTTATGAATTGCCATGATTCTTGGTTACTGTTGGATTCAAACAAGGGTGTTATATTTTATCTTGCTTTCACCATCTCATTCCCATTGTTTCTCATTTTTTTCTGTCTTATTTGTACAGTTGATTCCATTTTGTCTAAACATAACACTTAACTGTTCACAACCACATTGTGGACAGGGGGGCGCCCTTGTATACGCTTCCTGGCGGGATGCTCCAAGTGCATTCCATAGTCAATGATGTATTGTGAGCGTAGAGAATGGATTTGCATAGCTACTGCAGACTAAAAAACAGGCCTAGGGGCACAGGCTTACATTGGGACTTCCAATCTGTCCTTCCAAAGTCGTACATTTTTGCTGTCTCATTTGACGTCCACCCCCCCCCCCCATGTCTATCGGTGTTTTGCACAAGAATACACTCTATAGCTTTCAAAACTGAATTGCGTTATTTTCTATGATTAGTTTTGGGCCCGTGCCTGGCTGATTTTTATTCTGAATGTATTCGGTCTTGGCCTTAGTGTCTTAACGTTTTAACAGAGCTGCCTTGGCCAAAGCGTGGTCCTTAAGTGCGAGCTTCTGTGCGTGCCAAACGTGTGCGCAGGCAGGAAGCGCATGCCATGGGTGGGTGGATCGGTGGACGAGAGTGAAAGTCTGGCTTTTAGTATTGCTCTCCACTCCATCTCAATCGAGCTTAACAATTGGCACTTTCTGTAAACCGAGGGTTAGGGGGAATTGCAATTTTAAGTCCCGGGAGGATGGGAATTTTTCAGCATTGTGGTTTTCTTCACGGCGAAGAGCATTTTCCTGCCCTTATTTTATAATTGTTTTTGCTGTTTAACGTTTTCATTTTCTTTTTTGTCACGAATGATTTATTCTTAAACAGCCTTAAAAAAAATCTTCTCCCACGTGCGTGCGTGGGTGCTTGTGTGCACGTGTATGTACGGGTATGGACGATTGTCCGTTGAGCAGCCGCAGTGATGTGGCTTTGTACTTTTTGCCGTGCAAACGACGAAAACTTTTGGTGCCAATACTTCCCAGTGTCTGGAGCGTCAGCGTGCACACTCGCAGGCTCAATGCCAATGTATACAGTGATGGGGGGCAGGGGGGGAGGTCGAAGCAAGTGAGGTTAACTCTGCCTTAAAGATCATGCAAACCCAGAGGTGACCGGGTAAACAAGCGGCTCAGAGGGCAACCCAGTTACCAATGACTGCATACACAATAAAACCCATCGCATTCAATTTTGTTCTGCACTTAATTAAATTCAAGCTTTAAGGATGAAAAATATCAGTTTGATTGTCATGTGATAAACTTAACTCTCATGCTTCAGCAGGGAGGACTTCTGCCCTAAACTGTGTGGACCAGCTCATTTGAAGGGGATCTCAGTGGTAGCTCTATGATATCTGCTTCCACAGCCCATTCTCTAACACGATGGGATGCTCTGCTCTGCGAGAAATTTGTCTCGGCACTTCATCTCGTGACGTGACACCCTACTTTAGTAGGGACTCGCCACCAGCAGTTGCCCTAACAGCCTAGGAGCCTCACCGCAGGTGCCATGGACCGTGTGTTGTGTGCATGTGCACAGTAGGGAAGCGTCGCAACCAGCACTTGCCCCAACAGTCTTCTTCTTCGGCTGTCCATCGCGAACGACGATGACTGCGGAGAACCGCGAGCAGCAGAATTTATCTGTGTGCCGGTGGGATGAGAGCCCAGCCCTTGAGCCGAAGCTGCTCTGTCCACGCCTCTCACGGTGGTTTAAGGAGAAGCTGCTGTCGTGCCCCCGCAGCTGCCGCCATCTCTCTGGTCTCGTGTCTTTTGGTCCAGTGGTATGCACAGAGTATGACGACTGGGGAAACCCGTGAGTTGCCCCGCAGTAGCCACTCAACGGCCTCGGTGCTGCCGTCCGTTAACAGTCGAGGAGGCTGAAAGCAGCGGTCGTGGTCTGTTGTGTTGTGTTGTGTGTGTGCGTGCGTGCGTGGCAGGCAAGTGCGCGCGGTGCGGCGAGAACGTGGTCGGGGACGGCAACGGCTGCACGGCCATGGAGCAGGTGTTCCACGTCGACTGCTTCACCTGCCTGACGTGCAACGCGCGCCTCCGTGGGCAGCCCTTCTACGCCGTCGAGGGGAAGGCGTACTGCGAGGGGTGCTACATCGTACGACACGCACTCGTGCACGCAAAAAAAAAAACGAGGACAACAATCCCCCGTTATAACCTTAACAGACTGTTGGGGCAAATGCTGTTAGCAGGCACTTTTGAAGGCTGGCACGGCACGCGAAGGGATGGGTGGCCAGCACCACGCCTTGGCTGCCTTTATCTTCAAAGTGGCGATGTTTACACACAGCACCAGGTACTCATTTCAGGCTTGGTCGAGCCTAAAGGGGGAGGCCCAAGACCGGTTCAGATAATCGTCATCGTCACTGGTGTTGGCTGTGAGCGAAAATCAAACTCGGGTCGCCGGGTTCGAAGCGCAGCGCGCTAACCACTGAACACTGCGCCACAGCCCCCCCCCCCCCCCCCACTCATGCACCCGCACATGCACACGACAAGGATTGTGGATTATTGTCATCGCGATCTCGGTGACGATCTTTTTCATTCATTCACCGTTCGTCATTGGCAGGGTATCATCATCATCTTCACATCAGCATTGTGATAACGATGATATTGATAACTTACCGTGAACAAATTTAAATGTTAAGCTATCGCTCAAAAGTCCTGCCACAATGAACTCAAAATTCAAATTATACAGAAGGAGAATGTGCTGCCAGTGGTATATGATCTGAACTACCCCGCCTCGCAGGGTTTGGTGTTTGAGCTTCATGGAAACGCATTTCTGCGAATCTATGCAGTAATTGTGTTCGAACAACGCACGGCAAATGCGGCTGGTTCCTTCACAAATAGAAAATGAAAGCTTCGGCCTCGTGTGAATGTGATGAGGTCTGATCGGTTCATCACATGCCAACCCACTGCCCGTGAAAGAAAGTATTTGGTGATACTGCTGATGCTGTGCTGGCAGTGGTGCACAAATATCAACAAACAACTCGACGAGCTCGTCAATGGAACGGTGGCCTTGCAAGGAAAATATATAATAGGTATCGTTTTGGGCAATGGGCCATTCCAAGAACAATGGCATGAAGAAGGTCCATTGCCTTGTACATATTTCTCCACTCAAGGCACTGCCCATTCTACGTTTACATGGGAGATACGGACGCAGCACGTGACGCAGCTTCTGATGCAATCAAGTGTATTATCAGACTCGACATACAGTTGTAATATTCAATCGGTTGCTCTTCAAATGCGGGACGAATTAGACGGACAGACAGACATGTGTGATTCCACTGACCTCGAACCTTGCCCTGCCCGACCCCCACCTTCCGTCCGCTTGGCAGAACATGCTGGAGCGCTGCTCGGTGTGCTCCCAGCCCATCATGGACCGCATCCTGCGTGCCACGGGCAAGGCCTACCACCCGCAGTGCTTCACCTGCGTCGTGTGCCGCAAGAGCCTGGACGGCGTGCCCTTCACCGTCGACGCCACCAACCAGATCCACTGCATCGAGGACTTCCACAGGCGAGTGGGCGCAGCGGCGATGGGCACACGCTGTGTGCGAGTGTGTGTGTGTGGTAGTGGGGAGCGGTAGCGTCGCGGTTAGTGCACTATGGACCCGGCGAGCCTTTGGGCGAACTCGGCCTCAAATGAGTACCTGGTACGGTGTGTAAACATCGCCACTCGGGAGACAAAGGTGGCTGGGTGTGGTGCTGCTCCACCCTCTTGTATGCCGTGCCGGCCTTCATAGGTGCCCTCTAACGGCGCTTGCCCCAACAATCTGCTGAGGCTACACGGGGGATCTTTGCCTTTGTGGCAGGGTGGCGCAGTGGTGGTGGTAACGCTTGTGCCTCGTGGAAAGAATGGCGCGTGGGTTCGATGTCGCCGACTGGTGTCTGTTCTGCGTGGAATTTGTATGTTCTCTCTGCCTTCTGTTCTTCTGCATGGGTTTCCCTCCGGGTTCTCCGGTTTAATCCCATAGCTGAAAAAAGAACCCATAAACACAGTCTACCTGTTTTTTTGGCCAAAGTATCCCAATGCTGAAGAAGTGACCTGAAATTACTCTTGCGATTAAACATGGCAACCTTGCTCCCTCTCGAGCTTGGCAGGACCCTCCTTAAGAAAAAAAAGTCTTTAGGCTCGGTGAGTCTTTTGTAAAACATTAAAATAAAAAGGCATAAGTAATGTATATGTCTCATCCTCACATTAGTTAAGAGCTCGATTGGACATAGACTAACATTGTGGGACATCATGATTGGATGTTGTGAATATCTCCTTAGGGAGTAGAGGAGAAATGAAGAAGTTAGAGGCTCAAGAGGGCGTTACTCATTCTATAGGTCAGGAAGGTGAGACTTGTACGGTTTGGTCACGTGTTGAGAAGACACAAAGAAGAAGATGCTATGAGGGGGGGTTATGGAGATTAAGAGACCCGCATAGGCTTGCGAAGGGACCCATCGGCTCGCATAGCAACCCATATATACTGGAAGAGATACAGGGCAGAAAGCGTGGAGGGAGACGGAGGGTGGCATGGGATCATGCGGTGGAATGAGGTACGCGAGAACGTTGGGACGTGACCAGTGAAGAGACGCAGAATAGAAAGATCGTGGAGAAAGAAATTACAAGTAGCAAATGTGACTTCTAGCTTCGAAGAAGAGGACGGTGACTTGAGATGAACTGACGCTGCTGCCCCCTGTGGTCTGGAATGACCTCCCCCCCCCCCCCCCTGCATCTGACCAAGTCTCGGCTAAATCAACATCTTCCTGTAGGCCTACGACCGTCTCATTGTGAAGCGTCTTGCCATAAAAGTAAATACAGTAAAACCTTGGATTGCGAGTAACTTGGTCTGTGAGTGTTTTTGCACGACGAGCAATTTTTTAAAATAAATATTAATTTGATAAACGAGCGAGGTCTTGCAATACGAGCAGTACGTATACGCGTTGTCTGCCGAGCGTCACGTGATCACAACTGATATGCGAGTGCTTTGATATACGAGTGCTTTGGATTACAAACACGTTTCCGGAACGAATTATGCTCGCTATCCAAGGTTTCACTGTATATAGTAGCCATCTTTGTTTATTCAATGCATATGTACTAGGTGTGCAAGTTTTCCCACCGGAAATGTATGATCAATTGTATTTTTTTATGCGGACCGGTTTCCCGGATGTGTCAAAGTGTCTGCCGTTATCTTTTAATTACTGAATATTTGTTCATAGCATTTGTAATTGTGTATTTATTTGTCGCGCAGTTGCTGTGCAAAGGCCAAAAGGTCCAAAACATCAAGTGACCAGCAACAAACGGCAACGTTCAAAGTTGTAGTAGATGAATAAGTGTATCACGTTTCTTGAATTGGGCAAGGTTATATACGAGCTTGGGAAAAGAGAGACGATGAGAAGGATTTGCGGTTTGGAGAGCTCATTTTGTTTCTATAGCATTAGCTGCAAACCGGAGGCTTTGTGTGTCCATTTTAAAGCAAGACGCACAGGGCTCTTGTGTATATAATTACCTAGACTGTGTGTCCTGGCTGTCCGATAGGAAAAAAATGTGCTTTGAAATTATACTTTACTGAAAAATTGTGCATTAAAGTTAAAATCAAGTGTCCCATTGTGGCACTCTGGTGACATCATGACATAACCCTCGTATGGTTTAACACGCGGGCACTGCAAGTAACATTACTGAAGTGCACTTGGTTAATGGGGAAAATACACTGGAACCTATTAGTTTTCTTCCTTTTCAACCTCGTAATAACCGGTGCCCTACAAGGCTGCACAATAAGTACCAAAGTACGGACCCTCGATTCCAGAATCCACATCATGTAGTTTGCCCAAATTGCAATGTGTCATTCTGCATCTCTACGATGTTTTCAGAGCGCTTTCTACCCGAATGAACCTCGAGTATTTCTTTGTGGCGCTGCATCGGTTGCCGTATTTTACCAATGCTGTTGCGCCACCTGCTGTTGCTCTTGTTTAGTTCACAAATTCCGAGATTGCTTCAAAGAAATGTGCGTCTTTCATCTTCAGTGGTCATCATCACCACGTTTACTACATTCGTCGCCATGGCTTCATTTGTACATTTCTTTAACGCTTTTATTCTTTTTTTTTAGCTTTAGCCGGGGGGGGAGTGATTTCATGAACAAATAACAAAGCAACCAGAACGTTTCCTTTGTAAGCGTGCGCTTTGTTTCCACAAAGTCCAACTTTGCTTGAACCGATCGTGGAATAGTTCATCCGATTTTAAAGTGGCGTAGTGGTGGCACAGTGGCTGGCACACCGCCCTGCGAGCCTGGCGACCCAAGTTCGGTTCCCCGCCACGGCTAACAAGCGGTGACGAGCGATATCCGAGCAGGTTTTGATTGGCCGGCCCCTCTACCAACCTGCACTCGCCAATGTGGTGAGGTATGGTCAAACAATCGGCCACGACCAACGCTGTGTGGAGTGGCCTTCATTCGGTCGTGGACTGACGCACAGTCGATGCGCCAGAGCAAATATCAGTACCCACACCTTAGGTAGCAGAACTTTTCGTCATAGCGATTTATTAATATGGATGATAAAAATGAATTTCTTAACCCCACTCATTTCAAGTGGTTGTCACATTATGCACTATTGTTGGCCACGTGAATAAATTGTAACCGATTAAAGTTATGCTACTCCATGTGGTACTGACAAGTGGGATATCTGGTCTGGGCTCATGGACTGTGTTGAAATGGAGCTCTCATAGTTTTTATTTTCGTGTGCTTTGTCTTTACGTTTGTGACCCCTACAGGAAGTTTGCGCCACGCTGCTCGGTGTGCCAGCACCCCATCATGCCGGAGCCGGGCCAGGAGGAGACTGTGCGTATCGTGGCGCTAGACCGCAGCTTCCACGTGCACTGCTACAAGTGTGAGGTATGCTTCGACGAGTGTGTGTGTGTGTGTGTGCGCTGGTATAGTGGGAAGCGGCAGTGGAGTGCTTAGCACCGCTGCACTACGAAACCGGCGACCCGGGTTCGATTCCCGCTCACGGCCACGACCAATGACAATTATCTGAACCGTTCCTGGGGATTCCTCCAGGTCGACTCAACCTCAGACGAGTACCTGGTGCGGTGTGTAAACATCGCCACTGGGGAGACGAAGGCGACCAGGTGTGGTGCTGGGAACCCACCGCCCTCGTGTGCCGTGCCGGCCTTCATAGGTGCTCGCTAACAGCACTTGCCCCAACAGTCTGTTAAAGGTTAATGACAATCGCAAGCAGTAGTGTAGTGGTTAGCGTACTACCGCTACAAACCCGGTGACCCGAGATTAATTATCGCTCGTGGCCAATAACAGTGGCGAATATGTGAATCTGGCCCGGGTCCTCCCCTAGGTCGACTCGGCCTTAAATGAGTACTTGGTGTGGTGTGAAAACATCGGGGTTGGGGAGACAAAGGCGGCCGGGCGTGGTACTGGCCACACCACCACACACCGTGTGCCATGCCAAGATGTGGTTTGCGTGGCTCGCTTACCAACAACACTTGTCCCAAAAATGTTCTAGGCTTCCTTGAACTCTTGCGAATAGGTGTCCAATGAACTCCCCATAATCCCACACCGCGCACGTCTCACCCCCCCCCCCCATCGTCCCACCCTTTGCCTCCTTTGCTGTCGACGCGCAGGACTGTGGGCTCGTGCTGTCGTCGGAGAGCGAGGGGCGCGGTTGCTACCCGCTCGACTCGCACATCCTGTGCCGCAACTGCAACGGTCGCCGCATCCAGGCCCTGTCTGCCAACATCACCACCGACCTCTGACCTACCTACGCTCATTTGCATGAGCTGCCTCCACATCGCCCACCTTTACCCGCTCGTCAACCAACCTTTCCACCGACCAAACCCACCTTCATGTCTACCCTACCCAACCACCCGTGCACCTATCCAACCACCTAGCCACTTATTTCTCCACTGAGCTACCCACCTTCCCACCTACCCAACCACTTACCCACCAACCTACCCAACGACCCGCCCATCTTCCCAACCACCCACTCGCCTACTAAATCATCACACTACTGACCTACCTACCCACCTACCTACCCACCTACCTAACCACCCATCGACTGGGCATGTAACGAGGCATTCAAATAGTCTTACATTCGTGACACATGCATCGAAATGTGCCACTAGAGGCGCCGCATCGACCTCGGCGTAAAAAAGGAATTAATCACGATCCCAAATTGTGATAGCGCATCGAATTGTTAGGGGCGGAAAGTAGTTTTCGTGAAATGAACGTGTCGATTTACGTGAATCATACAAAACAAGCGATTTCTTTACGTGCGGGTTTCGATGCAACGTATCATGAGCAAGAGATCTCTATTAATCTCAGAATCGTCGCGAGCAAGAGATCTCTATTAATCTCAGAATCGTCGCAAGCCTACTCTGGAAGCACGACACAAGCACGCAACGCATCTATCCTACAGGCTGTGGTGTGTTGTTGGCGAGCGCCTATTACGGCTTCCGCATTGCACAACTCGTTGGTCGGCATCACCACTCCCCAGCGCTTGGTGTCGGACCGCACATTGCACCTAGCACTCGTTTTACACTTTGAGTCGACCTGCTTGTAGGCCGGGTCAGAATGCGATATAAATTTTCAGCAGTGTGTACGGCCGGGATCATCGTGCTGTGTGTGTGTGTGATGAACACATTGACGGCGATCCTTAAAGGACATTGGCAACCTTTGACGGCAGTGGTTGCTGCATCACTTTCTATTGCTGCTTGGGGAGAACTGTCAACGCTCTGCTCTTGCCACACACACAGAGGCGGCTCCAGTTGCTTATAGTGAATGCATTGGTAGTGAAGATTTCCAGCAACAGTTGCTATAAAACTGCCCTGGTGTGTCATTGCCTGCAATCAGTTAATCTGTGCACGCTCATGAATGCACAAAATAATTCTGTAGTTGGAGAGTCTTCTTTTTTTTTGTTACTGCATAACACAACGGCGCAACTATTGTCGTGCTTGAGTCCGTGCCCTTCTCGGTCATATAATGAGAAATAGGCAATCAATCATGCTCCTTCGCCCTGCTATTTCAAGCATTCTGTGCCCTCAGAGCACGGATATTTTTTTTATTATATTATTATTACAATCTGGGACGTGCCGAGTAGCACGTTTTCTTTTGCGTGTGTGAAATTGCAAAAAACGAATAATTCATTCGGTTTATTGAAACGCGCGCGCACGCACGCACGGGGTTCTTGTGGACAGAGAAAACGCTTTGGGAGTGGCGTAAACACGGATTGACGAAGTGAATCATTTGAGCTGCGCTGGCTCTCTCGGCTGGCCAGCAATGTTCTGCACAACTTTAAAGGGGGAAGAAAAAAAGACGACGTCACATATTTAGTCTATAAACAGCGGAGAGCGAGTAAACTGTGTCATCGCCGTTGGTATTAAATTGCTTGACTCGCGCGTGTTTTAGAGGTGGTGGATTGTCCGGTTATATTGCAGCCTTTATCGATTTAGTCGAAGGCTGAGTGAACATGGGGACGCCGAATAGAAGTGCCTTCCATGCATGCTTTATATAAAAAAAAATGTTTTAATCATCTTAAGGTTTTGATGGCCTGAATGTGGGGGGAGTGGTGGGGGCTTTGCGTAGAGATAGCGGCCCTGCTAAAATAAAGTACACTGCGTGTAATCGCGAACATTGTTGCGTTGAAGAGCAATATTACATTAAAAAAATAAAACAAAATAAAAATCCTAATGCAATAATGTGCAAATATAACTTGATATAAGTATAATGCTGTGCAAGTTTTTTTTAAACTATGTTACAAATATCTGTTAACTATAGCCTTAATACAAAACGGCCGCTTGGGTTGCTGGCTCAGTGGGGCTTTGCGTGGTGGTGATCACAAAGTGTGTGGCCCGATACAGGAGCAGTGCTGCCACATTGGATGGATGTGCAGTGAAAAGTCCCTTTCAACATTTTCAAAGCAAATTGATTGACTCTGCGGTCTTCACGTTTGTATGTTAACCGCAAAATGGAGAAGAAATTAATAAATAAAACGCTCGGATCTTGCAGAAACCCTTTTATTCACCAGACCTGGCTCCCTGTCGCTACCCACATTTTCTATCCACGTGCTAAATGTTTTCCGCAGTTCAAATAATTTATTGCTGGGGAAAGCGGTTGTATTGATGTGATGGATGAGGTGAACGCGTAGTTTGAGAAGCAACACCGAGTTGACATCGGCAGGGAATTAAATCATTGGGACCGTCCATGATGGACCCAAGTGCATTACACTGCATAGAAAACTAAAGTTTTAGCCAGTGGTGTAGAGTAGCGTGGTTGGCATGGGCCGTGGTGCAATGATTGTAATGTGGGGGGGGGGGGGGCTTGCCTACGTTAAATTTCCACTTTGTAGCCTGGTGCCTGGGTCCTGGTGCAGTTGCACCACCTGGACACGCAATAGCCATCCCACTCGTTTCAACGAGCTCCGTCACTGCTTTGTACATCCGGCCACACGGACTTTCTCATCGCCCTTTGTATTGCCAAGGGCACCAGTGGAAGGAGCCACGTGCCGGTGTTGTACCTTCACGTGTAGACGTTCGCACGAAGGCAACGACATTGCGCGGTGACGCCCGTTGCGTCCTGCGATTCAAGGTTACTACAGGGTAGCTTCTTTTTTTGTTGAAATGAGAGGAAAACTTTTTTTTTAGATGCGTCCGCATGCATCGGCTTTAGATGCACACTCTTACCTCTCTTTCCATTGTAAAACCGCGATGTGCCGGGGGCCGTGCCGAGCCAGCCCGGCGTGGCTCGGGAGGCGCCAGGTTGTTTTTCCACTGCGGGAAGGCGAGCCGCGTCGCCGACGTCGCACGCGGTGTGCGACGTCGGGGGCGCGCCGCGCGGGTGACGCGGTGACGGCTGTGTTCTTTCGGTCTGCTGGCTTGCATCGTGCAACGTTGAAAATGATTGACCCCCCCACCCTTCATCCCGAGCCACATTCGGATGTGTGTTTTTTTGTTTCGGGCCGGCGTAGAACGGTTTGGTTCCGGCTCGGCTCTGTATATAGCCAGTGGAAATCCACCCGTGTACCACGAGCACCCCGCACTGGTCCGGCTCCGACGTGCCAGTGGAAAAGGGGAATTTATCACCACTTTCCTCGAGCACAGATTGCGTTGCAAAAAAAGCCTCGTGGTCGTGATTTTTAGGATGGAGGCTTTTTTGATTTTTGAATGTTTACCTGCATTGGTGTTTGTTCCCCCCCCCCTCCTTCTCCGCTAGGCTATGATTGTCCTAAATGCGCTTCATTGTAATCTATGCAGTTTGTTATGCAATATTGAATGGTAGTTGACGTGTAAGTTTCGAACGGTGGTTAAAAAGTGCAAATGTGAATATGGGTTCTGATTTAATTAACTGAATTGGGTTATGATGATGATGATGGCACGACTTGCTTTAATTCCAATAAACGAGCAAAGTAAAAGACTGCTTAAGAAAATTGGCTACCGATGTGGATTTTGTATTGACCACAGATTGGCTACCAGTGCCTTCATTTCACGCCTGTTGCGTTACAATCGGCACTGTTCTGTCTACCACTGTGGCTGATGGTTGGCACCTCTTCCACAAAACCAAACTCCGCACATATATCTCAGTTCGACGCAATTGCCACCAGATTTCGGTACCCGATACACGGATGCCTATTCCCAGACTGTCCGGGTCAAGCCCAGACATCTGGCTCCACCAGCTGTATATGCTCAACAATTCAGGTAGGCACCGTAGGTGCAACTATGGGGTGTGTGTGGCAGAGTTGTAACGCATGGGGGGCCAGTTGGCCACAAGGGGGGGGGGGGGGCTACGAATCAACATAAGTAAAACAAAAATAAGAATTTTTTTCCTAAAAATATATACGTAAGTAAAACAAAAATAATATTTTTTTTCCTAAAAATATATTCCAACAGTTAACCATAAATGCTAAAAAAATGACATTGTTACAAATGAACAAAAATAGTATTTTTGAAAAACAGCGTAAATATGATAGCGCTGCTGATGGTGTTACTGAGCACCAGGCTGTTTTGCCAACTGACATGCTCATGAAAACAAGACGCATGATAACTTAATTGTGATTATTGTCCCCTTAAATATTTTATTAATACTGCCAATGTGAGACTGTCTTTCCTCTAAACCCAATACACGGTGCAACTAAAATAATATATCTAGTTATAGCCGTCATGGTATACGGGTTAAAATTATCCGTAACAATTTTGGCAAAATTGAGTCAGTCGGGTGAAAGGGGGGGGGGGGGGCACAATCGTATCTTGCATAGCCACCTTTGAAATTGTATAGTTGCCCACCAGGGGCGCAACGACTCTGTAAAGCAGAGCTGAAGTCTCGTGTTGGGAATTTCTGTACGATTGTTACTGTGGCGGGTTACTCAAAACCACTCGCTCAAATCCAGTCTTGATTTCCAAGGTTACTGTGCTGTGTACGGACGGTTCGGCTTTCACGATCCATAACTTTCGTATGAAACTGAACTCTGCCCACAGATTTGACAGTTGCGCGGTGACCTTTGGCACTTCTGAGAGAATGCCTATGTATAGCCATTGGCCTGTATGAAAGTCTAATTGAGAACAGCGTAATTTGTTAACTTTTATTCCGGAATTGCTTTGCAAGTCACTGCCTTTGCTTTCAACCTGACCATTGCCCTTGGCGTTTTCTGTGGGGTGTTTGTTTGTTTTGGTACGCGTGCTATAATTCAGTGGGAGGAAAAAAGTGTTTGCTACTCTCAAATGCCACCCACAAACGTGTGTGAAGTGTGTGTCGGCTCATAGTTGGGGGAGATGTGCCCATCAGCTTTTCATAGCCCTGTGCCTTTGGCTCCTGTCCAATAGACCTCTGGTGCAGTTGCACAGCCTCGATAGCGTTACCACTTGCTCATTGAAAATCCACTTGTTTGTCACTCGCGTGCGTATCATTGGTCAGGCTTGCTATTGCTCCCAATGTTTAATTTGCATGTGGTTTAAAGGCTTTTTAAAACCCACACACCCCGCTGTGTGGGCCTTGTGTGATACATGTTTGGCTTTAGGTTTACTGCCACTCTTGCTGTGTATGTACATATTCATCTTTGATTACCAAGGTCAGAGAGGCCAACAAATGTCGCTTTGACTCCAGCGATGTACTTGAGAGAGAGAGGGAGGGAGAGAGAAATATAGCACACTGGGAAGCAGCCATGGAAGGTTATGTTATTTAGCCTTGTATATTGTTTGTAATGTACCAAATAAGAGCACGGAATGAACAAACCAACATATATCTCAAGAGTATTTACCCATAAAGAAAGCCTATAGAGAATTTTGCTCGCGATTCACTTTGTGGCGTACGTTACTATCCTTTCGTTGTTCATTTATCGTGTAACCAAAACTATATTGCCATATTGATAAACACGGCGGAATGTGTAATGCTGTTATGTCTGCTGGTGGTCTATAAACACAACTCTTTCACGGCCTATAACGTGGTTCTTTTTAAAACAAGACGACTGACGCTTTCCTACGGCGTGTGAAAACATCATGTGAACATTATGTCAGCGATGCAGTCATTTTTAGTCTGTTGATGGTCGGCGATGAGGCAATCGACTCGTCTCGACGAGCTGTACACTGCGATGCACCACCACGGTGCGTACCGCGAGCGTTCAGGGTTTCAGCGCAATCGTCCTCACTGCGTTTCGACATCGCGGAGTGTGGCATCACCGATTTCGGATTGGTTGGTACCCCAGTCGCGGAGTGAAGTAACACCCCTGGAAAAAAAATAGTGTCCCATAAATAAAATATTTAATTGTCTTGGCCCATTTTGTATTATTTGGTACCCCGGGGTACCACCATCAGGATCATAGAGCGACCAGGTGACTTGGAGGAGGACAATGGGGTGGAACGAAGGCTTTCGCGACCAATATGATCATACGATCCATAATACAGGGGGGGGGGGTTGGGTGTTATATCGCGTAAATATAAATGTCGTTAAGCCCGCCACCACCCGACACAGTAAATGAGTAAGGTTTGTCGCGTCAACAGAACAGAATTGGCATGCTCTGTTTACGTGACAACCCTTACTAACCAGGTTGTAGGGTGGAGGCGGGTTTAACGACACATTTAGATTTACGCGATCTAACACCAACCCCCCTGTATTATGGGGTAGAACGAGATCGGGGTTTTTTTTTACTTTAAAATGTTCAATATTGATTTGAAAAAATGCTCACCACCTGGAAGCGCTGTCACACAATCCCTTTCACTGTACGATAAATACACGAAATTGCCACATTCGGCAGTAACACCCGCCTTGAAGAGAAGGATGTAAAATAGGCGACGTTTTGGGCATCTTCAAAGTACATGTATGCATGTCGAACGCACGTAGCCAACCGCAAACCAAAGATAAAAAAGTAGTTGTACATGCGATGCAATGTGAATTTATAAGGCGCATAAATGCCTCCGAATCTCGAAGACGTACAGAAACCGTGGAATGCGGTTTAGTTTTTTTGTTTGTAAAGAGATAGAGAGGCGGTCGGGAATAGGCACAGAAGCGGGAGGTCTTCATCCTCTCGGTTTGAACAAGGGTGCAGGGGAACGACAGCACGGACGTGTTGGGGGGGGTTGGGTTCAAGACAACGGAGGGAGCAGCAGAGGAGAATGAGCGACATTTGCACCGAGCTCAGCCACTCATTCGCGTGACAGATATAAATGTACGTCGATCTCGTGTTGGGTTCGAATCGTTCTAATCCAGGTTACGTGCGGGCAACGAAAGTGTCACGTTGGGGTTTTGCGCCGTAAACCAGCACCGCAGAAACGTGTTACACTTCTCGCCACTGGGTTGCACACTTTCCTTTGAAAAATTCGCATTCTAATTTCTGTCGTATGACGGGAGTAGCGCAAACAGTACTGCAATGCGATGTCGAGTTCGGCGAGCCACTCAATTCCAGATGGAATCGTGGGAAGGCTAAACTTCACAGACGCTCAAAGGTGTTTGACAAAATACATTTCAAATGCACTTACGGTACGCACTTAAATTCTGGCGTATTTAACACGAATAACATTCTGGGAGCACAAATGTGCCATTTTACACGAGCACACATAACACGCAATACAGTCATCTCACATTGCGTGGCCTTAAAAGGAACAATATTTTAATAGGTGACGTTTCAGGCAATGACCCTTGACAGCACATCGAAGCTAAAGAGTGGATATATTATATTCTTAGCTTTTTCGGTAAAGTCACAGTTACAGTACAACACTCTGTGTGTTGTATTTCTGAGTTTACTAGGTTTGTTTTCTCTTTCATTTGTACCTGATGATGATGATTGCCTGTGTTGCAATCGAAACGTCGTTTGCTATTATTTAATGTATTTCTCTTTCTACGTGACTTTACCGAAAGAACCGAAGAATAACCCGTTGAATGTTGAGTCAACGCTCGTAACTTGGTTTGAATCTTTCGTGCATCAATGACGCTGCCACATACCAACCTCGTCACCCGCAACGCACCCGATCTCGATCTCAGAAGCTCAGCAAATCATGCGGCTGGGTCGCGCTTGGATGTGCGACCGCTTTGCATACGAAGGCTGCGAAGTCACGTGGTGAGCAGCAGAGGGCAGTGCAGCAAAAGCCAATGTTGTACTGTGCTTCTATCGTTCTATGCTCACCGAACCTTAACTCCTAGTCCTCACCGACCCGCACTATGCTTCACCACGCCACCGGCGGTGTGAAGTATCGTCAAATATCCCCCACGAAACGCACGAGAGTCTGCATAATGTGAACACGCGCGGCGTATGCATCGCTTATTGACGCCCTCTAGCCGCTACTGCGACTCACGCCTTTGAGTTTAGGGCTTTATTGTTATTCCATTTGTTAACACACGAGCCTCAAAGAGTCCCAGGACTCACCTTTCAAGAAGGTCGTTGGCGAATGTTCACCTAAGTTGCGATGTTGTTACGTGTAATCCTAATTGAGTAATGTTTAGGTATGGGGTTTTTTTTGCTTTGAGATGATTGTGTGTGGTTTGGGCTATTGGCAGGAAACTGGAGAATCCAGAGGAAACCCGCGCTGAACAGGGGACGAATACAGAAACTAACCAGACAGAAAGGCACCCGAGTCTGGAATCAAACCCAGGATCTTGCTCCGAGGCACTGGGCCACCCGCTAAACCGGCCAATGATTGCTTCTGTTGCAGTTTATACCGGTAACACCAGCTCAGTTTGTGCAGACTCGGTAGAGCCTCAGGGTTCGTAAAACCATAGTTTAAGTACCGGCCAGGGTCCACTTTTAACGTAATTTATTTCGTAAAGGGAGCCTCGCCGAGTACTCTTAGTAAGATCTTGCCGCGTGAGGATGTTTGGCGAATTAGATCAATTCGTGTTGTGCACGTAAGAGGACACCAGTGAACCAGGATAAAAAAAACACCGCACAGGCGGATTCACAAAACCACTGCCTGTAACGATATCTGCTGGCTACCTCGCACATCTCTACGTAATCCACCAACCCTCGCCTCGTCATGGCTGGACCACAAGCGATCATATTAGTCGGCACTCAGCCTCGAGAGGCGCCCTGAAAACCCACCTGGACACGTCTTCAAAACGACATTCGAATGTTCGTGAACAGGTATTGTTCGGGGGTGGTGAGAGATGGAAGAGGTAGAAGGAGACGGATAACGGCAGGAGCAGTAGTAGTAGGCAATGGTAGGAGATGCGAGGTAGAGGAGATGGGATGAGTGGTGGGAGATGCAATGTTGGAGGAGATGCACGGAAGGCTGGAGGGGACGGGTGATGTGGGAGAATAATGGTGGGAGGGGAAGGGGTTTACATCAGGCGGCGGTGGTGATGGTGGGAATTTGTTCACGGGAGAAGAGAGGAGGGGGAGCGAAGGGGAGGGGTGGCGAAGGGGGGAGGGGTGGCGAAGGGGGAGGGGTGAGAAGGGGGAACCGCGTCACGCGGAGTGAAGTCGAGCTGCGAGGAGGAATCATCTCAGCATCTTCCTTCCCTCTCTCTTTCTCTCATCAGCCAGAGAGGAGCTCCCGCACGCACCCGCCACGCTCCCTCCCTCCATGAGCGCGGACAAGCAAGCGACTCGCCCACTCAGACAGGCGCGTGACGCGATCCCGTGAAGAACACACACACACCGTGAAGAACACACACCACACACAGCAGCAAGCATTGCCACCGTCGTCCGCATCACCGTTCACTGCTGCTTCCACGCCTGCTGGTGCTCCTTGGTTGTTGGTGGTGGTGGTGGTGCCGCTAACAGAGCCCTTGCCCAAACATCCTGAGCGAGACTACTCGGTTGGGGAGGAGCGGCGGTGGTGGTGGTGGGGGAATATTTGTGTTCGTGTGGCTGGGGCCACCCCCAAAAAATCTGTGGCAGCGTCCGTGTGTGGCTGGAGTTGGCCATGATGGATCTGGGACGCGGGGGCGCTTCGCTGGGGCTCTGCTCGCTCTGCCTGTGGTATCTCCTCGCCTGCACCGCGCCTGCTCCTGGGTGCAAGGGGGACGGCATCTCTCCCGGTGAGTGATGGCTCTGTGAGCGCTGGACGAGGGGGGGGGGTCATCTTACGCATGCAACCAACGCCGGTGGCGTTTTTTCTGAACCGGTCCTGGGCCTCTCTCTCCCCCCACCTCCCCTCCCCCCTAGGTAGACTCGGCCTTAAATGAGTATCCCGTGCGCGGTTGCGTAAGCATCGCCGCTAGGGAGACAAAGGCGGCCGGGCGTGGTGCTGGGCACCCCACCCCCCTCGTGTTCCGTGCCGGTCTTCATCGTTGCTACTCGCTAACGGCACTTGCCCCAACAGCCTGTTACAGGCTATACGGGGGATCTTTGTGACTTTGGAGACAAAGGCGACCGGGCGTGGTCGGTGTTTGCCACACCACACCATTCGTCAGCCGTTGCGACCTTCGTCGGTGCTCGCAAACAGCACGCGTCTCGACAGCCTATGCAGGCTACACGGGGGAGCTTTGTCTTTGTGCGCGAGTGTGTCTTGGCATTCACGTAGATGGGGAAACAGACTGCTGTCGCACATGCTGTTAGCGAGCACCTATTTGTTGTGTGTGGCTGGACCCAATACCCCATCGCCGCCTTTGTCTCTCCAACGTTCACGGCTAAACATCACTTGAACATCCGAGCCTGTTCTGGACCTCCTCATGGACTGACTCTGCTTCGGCATTGGGGAGACAAAGACGGCCGGGTGTGGTTACTTATCGCCAAACCATCCTCTCCCCCCCCCCCCCCGCCGTGTCTAGCGCCGTCCCAGCCCCTCAATAGGGGCTCGCTAACTGTGTCCATCCCGACAGTCCGTGTGGGCTCGACCTGGCAGGGGGGGGGGGTGATTCTTTATCTTCGTGTTATCCCTTCGCATGTCTGCAAATCTCTGCGTAGATCGGTCAAATGTTGATGTCTACGCCTGCGAGGTCTCGTGCAAAATCCCGACAAGGAGTGCATACCTGTAGTCTGTAAAGTTCTGACATCGTTGGGCCCTGCACGTATGCATTCGTTGAGTCAATGTAACAAAAAAAACCTACGTGTTACACGTCTATACACGTGTGCGCATGGAAACTCTGTATCATACTCTGCACGACGTGCCCTATAAAGTACATGTATACACCTGTAAACTCGAGCAAAACTGTCTTAATACACGCCTAATCTATGCATGCGTGCATCCGCAAAACCCCGATGTCTGTACATATACCCATAGCTGTCAAACCATACGGTTTACCCCGTATTCTTGTACAGGCAAATTGAGTTTTCAGGTCCATACGGCGTACAGCGGTTTCGATACGGTAAAAAAATATATCTAGGTTATGTCTATTTGTTTGTGTTTCTCCCTTGTGATGGGACTTTGTAGGATGAACGTTGAGATTTATAAGGGGCACGGGGTGACCAATGAGGTCTGAATTGGTCTGTGATAAGGTAGGGCACTGATAAGGGGTTTTTACAGGTGTGTGTGTGTGTACCCACGATGTATCCCACCAAACTCGACCTACTCCGTGGATAAGAGGGGATGGGGGGGGGATATTTAACAATCACCCCCCCCCCCCCCATCGTTTCAACTGTCGCGTACGAGAGATGGGATCGAACCGGCGACCTCTGGATTGCAACTGCAGTCGTTGGTGACCCATTAACATCACTGTGGCATCTGCCTTCGTTTTTCAATAATAATAAAAACAATCTACAACGTTACGTTTATTGCTGGAGACGTTTCCAGGTGTGTGGCAAACCGGTAACCGGTTTTTATAACTGGACACCCCCCCCCCCCCCAATGCGGTTTTACCGGTAATGCAAGAACCCAGATTGTCACAGCTGTTGAAGACAATGGGTTGAACCACTGTACCACATTTATAGCGGAGTTGGTGACTTAACCCGTTGCTGTAACAAGGTGGTCCAAATGTCTTGTGACCCCCCCCATTTAATTTTCTAAAACGCTGATATATTTTAAAGTAAGGTATTTAAAATAGATTTAAAATGGAAATGAATACGCAAAGGGGTAAAACATGTTAGGGGGTAAATTCATTGGGGAGGGGGGGGGGGGGGATCACGCGACATTTAGACCAGCCTCAATTGAGTTCATGGTACGGTGTGTAAACATCGACCACTGGGGAGACAAAGGCGGCCGGGCGTGGTGCTGGCCACCCACACCCCCTCGTGCGCCGTGCCGGCCCTCACAGGTGCTGCTACTCGCTAACAGCACTTGCCCCAACAGTCTGTTACAGGCTATACGGGGAGAGGGGATCTTTGTCTTTGGACCCCCACCCTGTCGGAAGTTAAAACTTCTCACTCCGGGCTCCATTTCTCGTGTAATAATTTCCCCGGAGCCTCTCGAACGCGCCAGATCTGGGGGGGGAGGGGGAGGGCAATATTTTCCAGAACTCAGCCCCGGGGCAGCTCCAGATGCGTTGGTGTCGGCTGCCGTGTACCCCCCCCCCCCAACTCCTTGTCAAAATCACAGCCCACAAGTCCTGTTTGTTTGTCGGCCGTGATAACTCCCGCGCACCTTGGAGACAACATTACATCCGTCTTTACGTGCGAGATCCATTCCGTCACGGGGTTTTCAGATGAGAGAGACCTCCCCCCCCGACTGGAATCTTTATTGTTGTTGATGATGGAACGGCTTTGACCGGGAAGCTTCGCGGTTTCCTATTCTCCGATTGTCCGTCGTTTATTTTGACCGTAGCGGACCTCCTTGCGACCGCGTTGCCACGTGCACGGAGTACAAGTGGCTGACGTGCAACGCAGTTGCTCTACGTGTGAATCGACGAACGTCTATTAAATTGCACGATTCGGTGCGCTGATCGGTGTGTTGAACCAGTGGTGAATGATTCCACTTTCCCTTGTAGTGAGGAGCACTCCAACGAGTGACACTCGCGAGAAGCCACTTTTGTTGAGCTATCATTTGTGGTGGCCAGGTCGCTCCTAAAACAAAATAAGTTGTTAATACCTCCGTGGGCTCTGTCTGGTAGGATGGGGGTGTAGTAATAGGTTTTACCCTTTTAACTGGCACAAAAACTGACACCTTTATTCAAGGCATCATGTTTGCAATAACCACAACACAAGAAGTCAAAATGCAAACAAAAGAGACAACTCTGATAATAATATGCACTGTCCTTGAATTTCATTGGTCCACACCCGAGATGGCTTTTCTTAGAGCCTAGTCTCCACTGGTGTTGGACCAGAAGACGCCAAAAGGCGTACAACTCAAAAAACAGCGCACTATCAGGGTATTGAGGGCTCGGGGTGAGCATTTACATTATGAGACCTCCTTTGCCCGTAACAAGATATAGTAATAGGTTTTACCCTTTTAACTGGCACAAAAACTGACACCTTTATTCAAGGATGGGGGTGGTTTATGCTTTATTTGTATGTTTTTTTTTGGTGATTTGTTCACCTTTCTTGTACTTTGCACTGCTATCGTGTTGTTTGAAATTGTTTGTAACGTTCTTAACCTGCCCCCTCATTGGACGTCTGTGAAAAAGAGCTTTATAGCTCATCAGATTCCAGTATGAATATTCTGATTTCCGAATATTCTGTTTACCCACACACATCGAATAGTGCAGCCTTAGTTGGTGATGCAGGAGTACACAATTTATCGACCATGGAAAAATAATGATGATGGTGATTGTGCTTCTAGTGCTGCTGCTCATGATGTTGCTGCTTGTGATGGTGATGCTGCTGCTGCTGCTGTTGTTGCCGATGTTGGCGATGATTGAGGTGACTGTTGGAAGCCGTGATGTAACCTCGGCAGCAAGTTGAAGGTTACTTCATCCAAAAATAAATACCGCATGCAGTTAAAAATTAAAACCCGAGACGCAGACATACCACATACACTGTGTACACATTACAAGGTTGCGTCTCAGACGATTACAGCCTTTGCCTTAACAAAACAGAGGAATGTTTTGTTATCACGAAGAGCCATGGCGCATGCACAGGCTTCTCGTTTTGAGTCGTTTTGCCTTTTGGGCCATGGCCCACCGCCATCACCGATATCTGCTCGCAGTCTCTCTCTCTCTCCACTCCTGCGCGGTCCGTCGCTGCGTCCTTTTCAACGTTGACAAGGCTTCCCTCCAGTCCGGTGGCTTGACAGGGTCGGACCGCGTGGTCTTTCTCTCGTCCCTGGGATCTTCCAGCCCAGCGGGTTCTCACCCCCCCCCCTCCCCCCTTTATCAATCGGTGACCCCCGACCAACCGGTCACCGTTCATCCCTGGCCGCGCGTGCCACGTCCACAACGTAGCGGCCGGCGGCTTCCACTCCTCCACGCTGAAATTGGGTGGCCTTCATTCTTCGCCTCTCCTTTCCAGGGCAGTGCTTGCGTCTTGTTGTCGTTGCATGCGTCGGCAAGGGCCCGCCCGGAAGTTCCTGGAGGTCCCCCCGGGGCTGGGGGCCTGGGCGAAGAACGCCACGTTGGTTGGGGGGCAGGGGGGGAGCCCCCTTATTTAAATTGTAATATATAACAGGGCACCGTTGTTGGAGGGAGTCCTTGTTTGTGTGAGGCCTAGGGCAAGCTACCCCCCCCCCCACACCAGCCACCGCCTCTGGGTGTGTATCGATTTAAGGAGCTTTAAAACAAAAAAAATGTGAAATGAGTAAAACCAAACATCAAGACGTGAAGGGGTTAAGTTTCCACATGTAACTTGAATACTGCTTTAGTAGGACTCAAAGCAACCAGGCGTGATGGAAGCCCGAGAGTTTGTCTGCGTGTATATTCACACGTAGTGTGTTTGTGTATATGCCCTGAGTGTGTATTTGTATATTCCCGTGTGTGTGTGTGTGTGGTGCGTCCGTACGTGGCGAGCGGTGGCGCGGTGGTTGGCGCTTCGTGCCACGAACCAAGCGACTCGATTTGTTTTTCCACATCACGCCCTTTCGTACGCCGTCGCGGGCTTGATGCGTGCTCCCCAACAGCACTTTTCTCAACAGCTTGTGTAGGCCACACGGCGAATCTTTGTCTTGTGTGCGTGTGTGGTGGTGGTGAGCCGTGGCTGCGGTGGTTAAGCGCTCGGCACTTCGAACCCAGCA